TTACCCCAATATCACCGCGGGAATTCGCAAGTTGAGTGCCATAACATATATCAAGCGAATCAATAGGATACCCCAATGTCACCTCAAGTATTCATACCGCAAGACATACATCATGTGATCTCAAATTTGAATATTCAATCCGACATGACAAAACTTCAAAGGGTAAAGATTCAATTCATCACAACAAGAGTATAGAGGGGAGAAACATCATATGATTCGACTATATTAACAAAGCCCATGATACAAATCACGAGAGAGGGAGAGATTAAATATATAGCTACTGGCACAAACTCTCAGCCCCGAGGGTGGACTACTCCCTCCTCATCGTGGTGGCCGCCGGGATGATGAAGATGGCCACCGGAGATGATTCCCCCCTCCAGCAGGGTGCCGGAACGGGTCTAGATTGGTTTTCGGTGGCTATGGAGCCCTGCGGCGGTGGAAATTCTGATCTAGGTTAACCCCGAAGGGTTTCAGAATATTTGGGAATTTATAGTACAAAGAGGGGTGCGGGAGGCCACCGAGGTGGGAACAACCCACCTGGGCGCACTAGGGGGGCCTGGCATGCCCTGGTGGGTTGTGCTCCCCTCGGGGCACCCCCAGGTGCTGCTCTGGCCCACCGGGAGTCTTCTGGCCCATAAAAATCCAAAAAAAGGTTTCGCGATGTTTGGACTCCATTTGATATTGATTTTCTACAATGTAAAAAACATGCAAAAAACAGCAACTGGCACTTGGCACTATGTCAATAGGTTAGTCCCAAAAAATGATATAAAATGATGTAAAATGATTGTAAAACATCTAAGAATGATAAAAATAATAGCATGAATACTTCATAAATTATAGATACGTTGGAAACGTATCAAATATGTAGTATCATAAAATACCAGCAAATGAAAAACAATTAAATAGAAAACACAAAACTAAAGGAAAACGAAATCATGAACCCAAAACCCCCCAAACCTTCTAGTAACGGTTGGTGTTACCAACCGGTACTAAAGGTCTCCCCGCCCCCGGCGCTGGCTCGTGCCACGTGGTGGCCCTTTAGTGGCGGTTCATGTTGAACCGGTACTAAAGGGGGGACCTTTAGTCCCCACCCTTTAGTGCCGGTTACAGAACCGACACTAAAGGGCCTTAGGAACCGGTGATACAGCCCGGTCCTGCACTAGTGGGATTTGGTCTAGCAGAGTTATGACCCATTCAAGAAGGGTGAAGCAGAAGTGTAAACTTTTGTTTACTAGTTTCTTTTACTTCTATTTGAGTCAATAGGGGAAAACCGTGCTATCAAGGGAGATCAAAGTGAAAGTTAGATTGAAGTCTTCTAGCGTGCGCTCAATCCAAACCTAAAATTGAAGACTTTGAGAGTTTTGCAATGAGTGCATTTGGCTTCAGAGTTCGAGATGTCACTCTCGGAACTCTCTAGCGCATTTGCCTCGTAGTTCAGCTAGTTGTCTTGTATCGCAAGACATGACACATGAGAGAGAGAGAGAGAGCTATTCTGAAATCTCACTGTTAGCCATGTGTTCTGTTGACCATGTGAGTGTGTCTCGAATGATCATATCAGCCCCTGGGCTTGCTTCACCGACTATAAATAGCCACCCACTTCAACCGTAGACGGTTGGCTACTCGTGCGAATTAATAGAGTTTGTCTGAGCAACCCTTTTTCCTCCCACAGATGTAAGAGAATCCTAGTGAGGAAAAACTCAAAGCCTAAAATGCTAAGTGATTGTGAATCACTGAAGAACTTGGTCGAAGTTGATCTTAACCTATCACTCTTGTGGACTGTGCATCCACTAGACAGTTAGGTGTCTGTTCTGAGCGCCCAAGAGTAGTTGTGGACTACCTGAAGAACGAGTTTTGTGAAGGTCTTTAGAGATCTACCTTAAATATCTAAATGTTGTACAGGTGCGGCTCGACATTCGATGACTAACGGCGTGGTCGTGGTCACCCTCCCCCTCCGACAGACTAGGGGGCGGCAGCATGGCGATGAGCGGCACAACCGTGGTCACCCATCCCCTTAGGTGGAGCCTAGGGGCGGCAACATGGTGGCCACCGACACGACCGCGGTCACCCACCACCTCCGACCTCCCGCGACTCACCAATGACGCCAAGGAGACGCCCTTCCTTAGTTCCTCTCCTTCGACACCCTTCCTCGGTTCCTCTCCTCCTTTGACAGGTGCCCCGCGTGGATCCAACACACCGGCAACAGGTAGTCAAGGACGAGCAGCTCGTGCTCTGGCATGCATACAAGCTGCTTGAGGAAATGTCCCAAAGAAAAAATTTCTTCATCAAGAAGAGGTTGATGCTGACATGTGGGTCTCACATGTCATAATGCCCAACTTATCAATCAATCTAACGGAGTTTGACTACTATGCCACGTCAGCACTTACATGCTGGCCATCTCTATCATAAAAAGGTTTAAAATTGCCGAATTGGATGTTATCAAACTTGATAGTTTTCTTCCCAAAAATTAGAGTAAAACTGGTAGTTTTCTGCCAAAGTTTGGAAAGCGATAGCTTTTCGCCACGGTTGGTCGAATTGTGGTAGTTTTTGGTTAAATACTCCACACCACACTTTCTCTGCCACTGCAACTAAATACAGACTCCTCACACGGCTTGGGCCACAAGCGTCTGTACGCATTGCGTCAGACACTTTTAGAGCATCTATAACCGGACCCCCTATATCTGCCCCAAACGCCCGAACAGGTTGTCCGGACGAGAAAATGTCACCCAACCGGGTGCCCCAATTTCCGGCTCAAACGCTCGGACTGACCGGCACTCCCAATATCCAACCCAAATCTGGGGCGGATATAGAGACACACGAACGCGCTCGCCACGTCGGATTCGGCCCACTCTAGCCCACCGACCCCACATAAAATGCACCCTATCCGCACTCCAGCCGAAACCCTACCCGCATTCCACTCCACTCCCCTCCCCTCCTACACTACCAAGCTCCTCTCTGGCGAGCTCCAACATTATCCTCCATGGCGGCGCCTGGATCCGACTCCGGCATATCCGTATCTGAGGACTATGAGCTCATCCCTTGCAGCCCCGAGGAGCAGATGTCCATTCGCTCTGCTCTCTGACGCTCCCGAGAGGAGTGCACCCTCCCGCGGTCTTCAGCGAGCCGATGGGAATCCGTTTCCCATCTGGCGGTCGGATCTAGGGCCGGCGGATCTTGCCGCGTGTCGCCAGCAACTGTCATGATGGTCGTTTGGCACAACCCTGCCATGCCGCCGAAACCTTTTAGGTGGCACCTAGTGCTTGCGGCATCGGGCGCCAAAACGGAGGCCATTTGCGCCTCCATGACTAGTCGTGAATCCGAAAAGGAGGCGCAGCATGCCGACCACGCAAGGCTTCATGCGCAGCTTCTAGTGGAGGCGGCTGCCGCAACCCTCGTGGCACAGGCAACCATGGCACTCGCGAACTGGAGGAGGTTCCGGTAGCCCGCGAGGCGGCGTCGGAGGAATCCCTCTGTGCCCGCATAGCCGAGAAGTGGTGGAGGAGGGAGGTCAAGGCGATGGCAAAAGACCAAAGCTGGGCGGTCCGCGCCATGGCCGGATTGCCCCCCATGGAGGAGAAAGATGTGGACGGCGACGGATCGATCAACTCCGGTTGTGAGTAGATCCGCCTTGATCCGTTCTTCATCTTCGACCACTGTTGCCGCAAGGACGACGGGAAGGGTAAAGGCAAGGGCAAGGCCGATCGTGGATGAACTTTTTCGGTCATCGTATCGTTTATAGTTAGTAGATCATGCCAACGATGACATGTGTTTAGCTACATACAATGCTGCATGAGCTAATATGAATTTAAGTATTCGGTTTAGATGCATTTGTGTGTTGACCCGTCACTGCCTGCGGACGCCAGCGTTTGCGGCCAAAGTTAATACTTGTGGTTGTGGTTGGAGATGCTCTTGGTCCACCTCATTACTCAGTGCGCTGCAGGTGTGACATCTTCTCTCTCGATGTTTCCCGTCAACAAATTAGCAGCCACAGTGTTCGTAGCTTCGCCATGGTACCGGATCTCACACTTGGCGTGCACCCTCAGTCGCTCCACGCGGCGGCTTCGAGGAGTTGATGTCTTGGCCGGTACATGTGCCGCCAGGGCGCCACCACCTGGTTTGTGGCAGGCGGGGAGAGCTTCCATGACCAGTGGAGGCCTTCGAGTGACACGGTGGTTGTGGGCCCTGCGTGTCAGTTTTGTTGTCAAAACATTCCCAATCTGAGATATGGGTTTCCCTGCAAAAAATTAGACGAGGATCTGTGGTTTGTGGACCATGTAAAACCCCTACAGAATACATGTGGTCTTGCTCAGTTAACTCATTCTAAAGAACCAGAAGTTGAAGGCTGACTGAATAACCAATACGGACATATGGAGAAGTAAGCCATACATATACTGAACCATATTTATATGTGGAGCAGCTGATGCTAATTCTTTGATATTTTGAATAGTCACCACACATCTTTGATGCGGGTTAGGATCCTCTGCAGTACAGTCACTGCCATGTGGGACCCAGCCCCATATGTGATCATCCGCACTACAGCACGATACTGCAGAAGATCTGAACCCCTCTGATGCATTGAAGCTCAAACTTTATGGTTGATAATAGGTTCAGTAAAAAACTTTGCAGAGCAGCTGATACCATTTCTATTCTGCTAATGGAAACTGTCTGGGTTGCGCGTTGCGGTCTTTCATTACTGCAAGACTGTGAAAGTGCCAAAGAGCCTCTGTAATTACGAATTTATTTACAGTAATAACAAACAAGACAGGCTACTATGAAAGTGCCCAAGAACCTCTGTCAACGACAATATTCTCACTACCACTGGAATTCTGTTGCACTATGTGTCACTGACACAAAAAAACATACACTGGCCTTTTCTTGTTGGTAAGCAAACTCAGGCTTTAAACTTTATAGTACGCAGAGATACGTGTGTGTGGGCGCGCGCGCAAGCAATATCTTTTCTCTACCGTGCTACTGTTTTACTACTTTGATGAATACATGTGTGTCTATCGCCTTTGGAAATTGAGCTTTGAGATGTTGTAACCGAAGAGAACGGCAAGAAGGATGGGGAATGCCGCCAGAACAACAGCCGCCAGCGGCAGCAAATCACGCCGAAAACCAAAGTAGTCCTTCATGAATGCTGGGACCGATTTGGTCTCTCCAAATACATCGATCATCCTGTCGTCGTAATCCCCGAACTGCGTGGTGAATAAGACCCTTAGCTCCCACGACATTGGGGAGACGTAGTAGAACCATATCCACCATCTCGGTATTTGCTACCATATGTTTATGAAGTCTTTTTAGGCACCATCATTTTTATCTCTAATTGTAATGGTATGTATACTAGAGTTTAGATAGGTTCACTTACAGGCGCAGGCACGATGAAGCCAGACATGAGGTTTTGTAGGGTGTAGAACATAGATGAAAGTACGGATGCAAATTGGATGTTGGGGGTGAACGACACCACCACCATTCCCATGTAGACGAAGCAGAGCAGTGTGCAAAACATGGTGTACATAAACCAAAAGAACTTCGCTGCTGTCCACGCGTACCCTATCATCGGATATGCTATCAACATGAACAGCACCACCTGCATCAGCACATAAGGTATCTCCATGGCAACCTATCTCCAGAAAAAAGAAAAGTCAATGTCTGCATGTAGTAGTGATATAACCCATCTGAAAAAACTTAATGTGATTAACAGGACCTGCGCAAAAGAGTAGGCCCAAGGAGAGTACATCCTTGCAAATCTCTCCCTGTAAACGACAGAGCGCTCCACGGAGATAAATGGCATCACCGATTGACAGTTGTTGATGCCAGCGAACAGAGTGATTCCATACATGCACCCCAATATGGTGAAGAGACTTTGCTGGTCGTTTCTACCCTCAAACAAAACAAGCAACTTCAGTCATATGCTTCTCCCATATTTGCATGAGTTAATTAAGATACATATTCAAGAGATGGTTTACATACATGTGGTTGATGTTGCCTTGTTGCCAGAACAGTGCACCAAAGAAAATGCAGGATAATGTTATGAACACAAATCGCACCAGGTTGTAGGAAGGGGTTCTCCAATACGACAAACACTGCTTCCAGAGGCAAGCTTTGAATTGCTCCTGAAACTTCTGTGGAAACCGTGTCGCAAAATGGAGGTCGGTCGTACCTGGAACTGGTATGCTTAACCGCTTTACCACCATGTCCTTGTCCCTTTGATCACCAAATTTACATACTGGTTAGCACAAATATTATATTATGCATGGCATGGTTATCCGTGCTTATATTCTGTTCTGATCAAACTTTGAGACCCACATGTGTATTTTTGTTTTTCTCAAGTACTTCCTCCGTTCCTAAATATAGGTCTTTTTAGAGATTTCAATGCGGACTACGTACGGAGCAAAATGATTGAATCTACACTCTAAAATATGTTTATATACATCCGTATGTAGTCTATATTAAGATCTCTTGAAAGACTTATATTTAGGAACAGAGGGAGTACTATGGAAGGCTGGAAGCACTACGTTCTGTTTGACATGAAACTTTTCTTTGCATAATCGATTGGGTTAGCACTATTGCTGACCTAGCTGGTTCTTTGAAACTTACTTGCACATTGATGATTCCCTGTACAATTGTGCAAAATCTGCTCCCAGTTGAACTTCCATAGATGTGGAAGTAACTTCTAGCATCCATGTTGATGGGTTGTAGTTGTCCTTGATCCTGGGAACCCCAGGTATTGCCTAGAAGAATAAAGAACAAATATCATCAGTTAGTATATCACAAGCAACTGGGGGGAAAATTCAGGTGGTGGCCTTGGTGGTGAATTGAGTATAGCCTCCTCTAATCAAAATATAGTAGTGCAACTATGATTAATATTGCTCACCCCTTCAAGTGCTACGTAGAATGCAAATCATGAGGACTAGATAATGGATTCAGAAGTATAAGTAACTTCTTGATTTTTCAGTTAAAAAAGTATATCTCCTTAAAATAAAGAAAAGGATGAAAACAAAATATTGTTAGGTTTGTTTACTGTAAACAACAGGTTTAAACTGACTTATATCATATACAAATGGGTGATGTAAATCATATGCACATTTACTTAGTCTTTTTGTGCAAGGACGAGTTGAAATCACTAATTACCTGGAAATATTGGATGACCTCACATGAATGATGTCCAACTAGCCCAGCATAGATCAACTCTCCACCCCTTTTCATCAGCATCAACTACATATATATTACGAGCTAATTAGTAAAATGGCACTCCACTTTATATGAATTATTCTGGTTAAGAAATTTATGATAACAATGTACACAAAATCACAGGAACTAAGGTTTAGGCTTTGGTTGAATTGGTAGAGTTGCTTTTGATACAGAACTTCAATACTTATAAATGAGAACGTATGCAGCTGTGATAACATATACATCTACTTAAGCGGTACTGTTAAACCCAACCAAGATAAGTGTTAATAATGCAACCGAGTTCTGTGTCAGAAGCCCAGCCAGGAGACATAAGTTCTTCTCTTTTCTCCAATTAATCTGGGAATTTCTACCCCATAAATGAACGTGTCAGCTCTTTTGAACAGCATGCTTGTTAATAATACAACAGAGTTCAGTGTGATTATTTTCAAAAGTCAGAAAATTATTGTTAGCTTCTCGAAAACTTAGAAGAGGTAGACTCTGTCCTGGGACTTAATTTGGGGTCCTTTAAGCAGCCTGTTAGTGCGGCTTGATTTCTGTTCCGGACTTCCGGTAGATAAAGTGTCAAGGGTTCTTTCTGAGGTAGCATGCAATTCGTTCCATGTCTGATGGTTGATGTCAGATCTTGGCTTTATAATTTCATTTCAAGCTGAGGTAGCAACACTTGGTAATCATGTTACTTCTTCAATATAATCAACTTATAATACCTATATATGATAAGTCTATATTAGATTATTTTTACGCCTTGAAAATTATTATTTAATACATTCATGTCTTGGCGCCTAGAAAGAGAATCTTGAACAAGGTCAGAAGTATATATATATATAATATGTAAAGTAATTACCTCATCAAATGCCTCAAATATATCGATACTTGGTTGGTGAATGGTGCACACGACTGTCCGACCTGTATCTGCAACATTCTTGACTGCACGCATGACAATAGCAGCTGCCCTTGCATCCAAGCCTGATGTCGGCTCATCCATGAATATGATTGAAGGGTTAGACACAAGCTCAACTGCAATAGTGAGCCGTTTCCGTTGCTCTGTCGATAGTCCATTTACCCCTGGTATTCCAACCAAAGAATCTCTAATTTCATCTAACTCAATTGTTTCAAGAACTTCATTTACAAATTCCTGCAAGGGAAAGGAACACAGGTGAGCTCACAGTTTCATTTCAACTGTTCCTAGCACGCAGGAGGCTTGGATACAAGTATGCCACCCAGTACCCTACACTTAAAATATAGTTTCATATATGTTTGCGTATTTGTAGCTCTTGTTTCGTTACAGAAACAAATATAGCTTACATTTCTTGCTTTTGAATCAATTTCTGGTGGAAGGCGCAACCAGGCTGAATATGCAACTGATTCACCCACTGTGATTTGTGGGGAATGAACATCAGTCTGTTCACAGTAGCCTGATATCCTAGCAAAAGTTTGCTGGATCTTAGGATAGCCTCCTATTCTTATATCCCCTTCAATAACACCACCCGTTTTCCTTCCAGCAAGAACATAAAGGAGTGTTGTTTTTCCCGCTCCAGTAACCCCCATAAGGGCTGAGAGAACCCCTGGCTGAAATGCTCCTGTGATATTGTGCAGTAGTTGTAGTTTTCTTTCCATATAACCATGCTCCCTCATTTCCTGCAACGAGGAAATACTTAGATATTAATTATCAGCCCACGCTATGGCTTTAAGCTCTCAGGTCATGTGTTCATAGATGTTCAAGCTACATGAGCATTACTGTGGGGGTGTCTACATAGTAGTTGACATCTTGAAATAATATTGTAAGGGGTGTGACAGGAAATACCATCCTCCCTGCACATTATAAGTTAAATCTTGATTGTATTCCATCGACAGTATTAGTTGTGTTTAGTTGCATCATGTAGAATTCAACTAACCAGTCCTATTAGGTGTCAAAGCGGTTTCTGCTTGTAAATTAGGCATCCCATTTTTCATATCCTTAGCTTGGTTTCTTTCACCAAATGTGGCAAGCTTACTGCAAGAGATAATAGCACGAGAAGATCCTGGAACTGAGAGGTTCAAAGGACATTGGAGCAGATGGCATTTCTAACAAGAGCAAACAGGATGTTTTTTCTGAATGGAAGTACTTTTTGTCCAGCATATGCTTGATTGAGTTCACAATTCATGTGATACTGTTAGAAAGAAAGTAAAGTGTTTTAAGTTACTTAGCCAATTAGCTTAATGCAATTTCAGCCATGTCGCACTTACTATTTTTAATGGTCAAGCCGATGGCAAAGCCTACATTGAACAACAAAGTAAACCCAATCAATGCTGCAACTGAGATCCAGTAGAAGTAGCTGGAGAAGTCTAGTGCTTGATCCATTAGTACCCTCTTTCCAAGTGTTACACCAGATAACGTGATCTACAAACATAGAAATTTCAGTATCCTTTAGGAATACATGTGTCAGAGTAATGGGCCACGGGTAGGCTAACCCGAGTCCCAGAACCTTTCAAAACACAGGGGCAGACTGCGCCCCTCAAGACCCCCACGATAAAGAGCCGCCTCCTGGGAGTCGGCGGCAACTGCCCCTCACGGCCGAGTTCTAGGGACGACTTCGAGATAAGCCGACTCTTAGCTGGCGACTTCGAGATAAGCCGACTCTTAGCTGGCGACTTCGAGGTAAGCCGACTGTGGGAGTCGGCCCGCGGCTCCAACCACCCCCTGCCTTCGCCACGATGGACGGGGCGGGGTACGGTCACTGCGTGGCCGTCCCTGCCCCGCTTACGAAGGGCTGGCATGGCTACAGTGCGTCGTATCGCTGGAGATCTCCATTGTGGCGCGGCACTGTTGCCATGCCCGCCCTGACCTCAGCCCCCGTGGGCGGCGCACTATGCCCACGACGGCTTACCTGTACGGCCTAGAGACGGCGGGACCCGCCCGTCAGCGGAGGGACAGAAGATGGCAAGAGCGCCACAAAGACGGACCCGCGGGAATCGGCCCCCTGGAGTCGGCCGGCCCCTCCCACGGGCACCGCACGCCATTAACCAGACAAGACGGGGAATGGCGACAGTGATCGTCCGCGAGGCGGCGGCACTGTTGCCACGACCCCATGACCAAGCGAGCGTCATTGGAGGCACGACTACAGTACCAGGCTTGTCGGCGGGGCCCACCAGTCGGCGGAGAAGACGGCGGCCTGAGAGACAGACGGCTGGGACCCGCGCCCAGCCGGATTACCATTGTATCCCTGGGGGGCAGGCCTATATAAGCCCCCCGGGGCACCCATGCAAAGGGGATAGCTTCTTTAGCACTAGACCAGACCATATAGGAAGGAGGGAGCTAGCCTAGCCTTCTCCTACCTCCAGGAAACAGCTCTAGGAGCAACCTTGTATTCACTTTGCCATAGTGATCATGCGGAGACCCCGCAGAGCAGCAGTAGGGGTGTTATCTCCTCGGAGAGCCCTGAAGCTGGGTAAGATCCGCCGGCGTGCATGTCTTCGCCTCATCCCGTTTCCAGGCACCGGCGACGCTCTACTCGCTCCCACCATGATAAGCCATCCTTTGGCATATGTCGCACCCAACCACCGACAACATGCTTTTCACTTAATTCATACTTTGTATGCCAAAGTGTACCTCTAACCATCTTGGTGCCAAAAACTCATTTCCAGTTAAGCCTATCTCACCGTAAGAATGGAGATAGCCAAAATCCCCATTTTAGCCAATTAGGCAAAAGTGTTGTAGCAATATGACACTGAAAATGTTAGCAGTGCTTTATAATAGTTGAGCACGACGTACATTTGCAATAAATTATGACTCGTCACTTGTTAGCAACACAAAGTCTATGAAATAAGGGAGTGTCTTACCACGAGGAATTATGAAACCTCCAAATAGAAGCATGACTAGAAATGTCAATGTGCCACAGATTGAAGCAACCACCATCGTTTGACAGTATGAGGCAACACACCGGAACTTTGATAATGTTACTGTGTGGATGAGGAAGAGGATGAGGAGCTCAGAGAAAAACCTAAACACAAGAATAATGCATGTTAACACAAAAGGCTACATCTGAAAACCTAGGTTTTGCGGAAACAATGAAAGAGAAGTAAATATGGTGTTAGATAAGCGAATTTGATGTTTGACTTCAGTACACCAGATCAGTGCGAAACCAGTATAAGCAATGTTTTACTTGTACTCTTCACTTGGGTGATTATACTCAACATCTGAATGACTCAGAATGGGTGAATGGTGATACTGAATTACAGAAAATGTTGATGTAGTTGAGTTAGTGCCAACAGCATTGCAATTTTACCTAGATGCTTCTGGGGTATAGCCAATCAGGTAGTAGGATATTGATGTCCAAGCTACTGACTCAACTAAAGAGACTGGAATCTTTAGGATAAAAGATGGTATTGCATAAGCCCATGCAGGATAGAAGTAGTAGTCTCTCTGTTTGTAGAAGACTGGCAGTCTGTTAATTGCCATGGCCAGCTCAGGGAAACCATTCACCATCAGCAGCAGAAGCGCAAAGAAGAGTGAACTCATATAATAGTTAGCATGAATTCTATCAACACCCATATGGGTGCGCAGAAATACTGTCCCAGTAATAGCAGCAATTAGTCCAAGCTGCAGCGAAAATATGAAACATGTTGAGAAAATATGTTAGTTTGTGGTGGTCATGTTGAGCCAGATGCAAAATGACATAGCTGTAAATTCCATCCATATTATCTATAACTAAAGCTGGTCCTTGTTCAGCGACTGATCCTTTTTGGTTCTCTTGTGCGATTGCACCTGTACAAACTTTCTACTCCTAATCTATAATGCATCAGCAGAGCTCCTGCCAGTTAACGTAAAAAAATGAAAGCTGTAAAAGATACTTTAAACAAAAAACACTGCAGCTGTGGTGCTGTAGTGTAGGTAATGATATAAACACACAAGCAGTTGAAGTCCTCAAATCACACTGAGTAGGAACTGAATGCAGAATAAAATGCTGACATTCTGGGCAAGTTCCTGCTCTAGACTTCTATATGGTCCGAGAGTTCAATGTTCTCAGTGTGTAGTCATTGGTAACCCTGTGTTAAGCACATAGTCCTAATTCTACAATATTTCGCAACTGAGTACACCTAGGATTGTGCATTTACAGACTAGAACACATTTTACACTCATAAACACCTTAGGACGTGACATTCGAGATAGCACTGTAAAACTAGGCACAAAAAATCTCCACGCATCGATCAGTTTTTTTTTCTTCCGAAAAGAGAGCTTCGACATGCCTACCTGAATGGCTTTTGTTATGTAGATGAAGGCATTTCTTTTCATAAGAAGGAGCTCCCGTGCAAAACATGCCTTGACGAGATCCCACTTGGATAACGAGTAGATACTGAAGGACAGTGCATTCTTATGTCCTTTGGATTCATCATACGGCTTTGAAAGCTCCCCAACAAGATTCTGACCACTCTGAGATGCTTTGAACTTATCACAGAATTGGTCAACTGTAACAAAATTATATCCTTCTTCGGTGCGGCTCCAGTATTGTTGTTGATCTTTTTTTGATAGGACCTATGTATACATACATTGTTAATACTGGACTACTTTATGATGGTAAGCAAGAGTGCAAAAAAGCATGGCAAACTCAGGTGACCATAATATGTGCCCTATTACTTCATATTAGTAATGTTACTTTCATCGAATGCACATCAAAACTATAGGTGTAACTCTTACACTTTGCAGAAATGTTGAAACCAGAAACGTGTGTACAAGAGAATTGCTATTTGGATTACTCTAGGCACATAAAATGACCAGTTCTGTTATTATATATTCAACAAATGATATGCATATGGCAACTGAGATTCAACATGCCAGATTTGCATTCTGCTTGACTGCACTGACAGAAAGACCCGACTAGATTACACAAGAACTAGAGAAGCGGAAATTTGAATTTCTTGTGGGGCATATCTTAATTTTATTTAGATAACAGGGGCTTTTATTACCTCAAGCCTCTGCATCATCAATGCATGCAGCCAAACTTATTACAGAGTTAGCATAACTACTCTTTAAACTAATAAGTCTATCACTGGCATGCCACCCAAATCGGGGCATGCCTTAACGTTTAGGTGAAGTCTAGGTTCCATGTGCATTGGATTTGCTTTCCTTAATCTTGTGAAATAAACACCATGACTTGTCAGACAGCAGGAAGAACCATGATCACAAGAACTCAGAGATGCTATTGATGCTTATTTTGACATATGTAAATTAGTATTTTGCTAAATACCTCTTGAAGGAAGTCAGCATCCCCTTTTCTTCCAGGGCACTTGAAGCCACAAGATTCAAAGAAACTCATAATGCAGCTCTTAGGACCATGGTATACGATTTGTCCTTCAGCCATCAAGATAATATCATCAAAAAGTTGGTAAGTCTCTGGTGCTGGTTGAAGGAGTGAGACCAGTATGGTAGACTCTGATATATGAGCTAGCTGTTGGAGACAAGAAACAATTTGGAAGGTGGTAGAACTGTCCAGCCCAGTTGATATTTCATCCATGAAGAGCGCTTTTGATGGTCCTACTATCACCTCTCCTGCTTGTAAGAAATTTTTACAAGTGACAAAAAATAAGCATCCAGTATCGAATTAATTTATACTCCCTCTGTAAACTAATATAATACCTTAGTGATCTAAAAGGTCTTATATTAGTTTACAGGGGGAGTATTATTTATCCTATATAGACCAAAATTGAGGTTGGGATTACATAAACTGAATATAACACATTACTAGCTACTCCCTCCGTCCGAAAATACTTGTCATCAAAATGGACAAAAAAGGATGTATCTAGAACTAAAATACATCTAGATACATCCCCTTTTATTCATTTTGATGACAACTATTTCCGGACAGAGGGAGTACATTCTAAAAAGTAGAAATAAATCATGCTAAGTTGATTCGTTCAGGCTCATGTGCTTTCATCACAACAGAAATTTATGGTTTACCATACCCCTGTTCTTAGCTTTATTGTGGTGAGAAATTCATATCAGCTCATGCTAATAATAAAGTACAGAAAGCATCGACAAAATCAATTAGCCAGCACAAAAGGTGTGTACCTTCCAATATGCAGTTAAGGAATTTTAGTCAATGAATTGCACAGTTAGTAATTTATTTATCTAGAAGAAATATCATTTACAAGATTATAGTTGAGATAATAAACCATCCTGAAAATGTCATATGTATTGTAAATTCACCTGTGGTTAGTCTTTTCTTCTCACCGCCTGAAATACCTCTTCTCATGGCATCTCCTACTAGTACATCAGCGCATATGTCAAGTCCCATTATCTGTGAGCCAAGAATAGATTATGCACACGAAAAACATTGTGCGCTGGAACCAATGAATTCTTCTTTGAACATTGTTTACCTTCATAATGTAGTCTGTTTGCATGCTTCTTTCTAAACCATCCATGGATATTGCCTATAAAAAAGTGCACAGCAATTGTAAATGTTGCAGCTAAACTGAACTTGTCTGTACAACCATGATACGATTGCTTTTCTTTTTAAGAATCAATAGAAAAGAATCCCACTGAAAAATTATGATGGCACTTGGCAGAAAGATGTTGTTTTAAGGTCTGATTCAATATTATTAGAGAAAGGTGTTTCAATGGGCACACTCAGAAATGTTACAACATTATAGCAAAATAGGTCAGTGTTTACCTTCATGTATGTATCTATGTTGGGGTCAGGGATGATCCCAGCCTCCTCCCTTCTAATGACTTCCTTCATGATTTCTATTTTGTACAAGAAATTGAGAGCACTTGGTTTAGTAGATAGAATGGGAAATTAATATTTCCTAAAATCAAGGTATTATGACTTTGGCACATTTGCTTCGATTAGTTAGTTGCCTGCTGTCCCTAAAAACCTTTAGTTAACCAGGTCCCAGAAAAAAAATACCTGCTCTGCTGCCAACGCCCTGGAATCTTGCAGAGAAGTCGAGCGTCTCCCTGACAGTCATCTCAGGGACATGAAGATCGTACTGACCAATGTACGCTGATGTCTTCTCTGGAACAAAATCTTGCAGCTTGACACCATTGTAGTCAATTTCACCTGTTACCTATGCAACCACACATCCATAGTATGTGAGTTAAAGTACTGAAATGCACGGCATACAATATTTTCTCTGTTTTCTGTGTGCAACTTCAGACCTACATAGAGCTCATAAGTGGAAGCTAAACTGCGGAGTATATGGCTATTATATGAATTGGAAGGTACATGTGTCGATGGAAAAAAGAGTGGGGATACCTTGAGATTTTTGTTGAGCTTTCCAGCAAGTGCTAGCAAAAGGGTGGTTTTGCCACAGCCTGGGGGTCCAAGGAGAAGGGTCATCCTGCATGTACACACAGATTGGTGTTGCATTTGCATACTGATGATGAGGAAGGAAGGAAAGGGGGAATGTTGATCAGCAAGTAAATGAAAATATAGCAGGAGGAAGCTCACCTGGAAGGTTTGAGGATGCCAGTGACATCTTTGAGGATGTGGATCCTTTCTTGGTTACGGTTGAAGCCGAGCATGGTGGTGAGTAGCTGCAGATGGCAACGGTGGCATTTGAGCGAGCAGGTCGCGAGGCGAGTGGTAGGTTTTCGGTACCGAGCGAGAAATTCAATTTGCGTTTCTCGCTAACCCCGGTATATGGGTCTCTTGAGCAAAAAAAAAAACAAATTTCTTGAAAATTTTGAATTTAAATGCTCAAAATGTGGCTAAGTATTGTACCATCTCTTGTCCAACATCATACCTTAGTGCTGTAGTGGTTACGCAACCGCTCAAAGGTTCGTTTTCCCAGTACTGCATCTTTTTTACTGTTTTGAGTGAATTCCATTTTTACCCCCTAATTTCACGCGTGACAGATATTACCTGATTTAGTG